GGAGGAGAAGGAACCCCCAAGGCAACGCAAAGCCACTTCTAGCATCTCTATGGCATGATATCTGCATCAAGCAGGGACTTCAAAGTGATTGCAGTGGACAGGGCGCAGAATGCCTATCTGGACCTGGATGAGCCCATGAAACGCTGGACAACAGCGTATGGCGCAGATCCACAGCTACGCTGACTGTGACAAACTGAAAGTAGCGAAGGGCGCACAGCAATAGGCTATGCGCTAGGACTGTCACCGCTTCAGACGTTACCAGCTATTCATTGATACCACTCAGTTGTCAGGCAAAAGACCCCGCAATTTCGCGAAGCGGGGTGCAACGGTGTACATGAGAGAGTATACATGATCATACAGCTCTTTGAATCCTCAAAAGAAAAGAGGGGTCTCTCTGTGGTGCGCCACTCCAGTGCAGTGCGTAAATTCTTCCGCAAGAAAATACATAGGATTTTCAAAGCAAAATGCCCAAGTGCCCGTGAGTGAACCCACATCGTGGCTCTTTTGTTGACAAAAGTGCAGGGACCAAATCATTGACGACTGCCAACTTTGGCCCTTTTCCTCACAAGTCGACAATTGTGCTAGTTGGTGACCCTCTGTGATTGGATGGGTATCAACAAAAGGGTTATTTGGCCCAAGTTGGATACTAAACTAGAAACTTCGTTGCCTTCAAATCACGAAAGGTAGCGGTTACGCTACCTGAGTTGTCTTTGCTTTAGCAATAATGTATTGGGGGTGGTGAAGTGGTCCGGTGCTTGATTTCGGTCGTTTAAGGTTTAAGAGTTTGTTTTAACTGGGGGGGGGGGGGGGGGGGCCCCCCCCCCCCATTCGACTCCACCCTGTGCCGCGGAGAATTTGGTAGTGCTCTGAGCAGAAGCAAGCAGCCAGCAGCAGCAAACCAGCAAAGCAGCAGCAGCAAAGCAAAAAGGCAGCACCAGCAGCAGCAGCAGCAGCAGCAGCAAACGAGCAGCAGCAGTGGCACCAGTGGCAGCACCAAGGACTGCAACAGCAGCAGCAGCAGCAAAGCGCCAAAGCTCACACAAGTTTGGCCTCCACAACCCTTGGTTTTCGTTCAGTTTTTTGGGGGTTGCGCAGGCGAAATTGAAAGAGGGGGGGACAGCAAAGCAGCGGCAGCCTTCAGGATTCAAGCAACAGCAGCAACCAGCAAGAAGTAGCAGCAGCAACAGCAACAGCCAAACAGCAGCAGCAACCAGCAGGAGCAGCAACCAGCAGGAGCAGCAGCAGCAGCAACCAGCAGGAGCAGCAACCAGCAGCAGCAGCAACCAGCAGGAGCAGCAACCAGCAGCAGCAGCAACCAGCAGCAGCAGCAACCAGCAG